TATATATATATATATATATATATATATATATATATATATTTTCCGGGGTTTTCCGCATGCGCTTTTATCCAAATTACTGCGCCGCGTTTGCGTCAACTTTGAAACAAAATCATAACAGTGAATAAATTATATCCTCCAAGCGTCGGCGTATTAAAGTAATTATATTTACCGCAATGATAAATAAACGCAGTGTGCTGCGAACAGCGATATACGCGTATCTTTTGAATCATGTGCGCAGAAACGAACGAATTGGCGGACAATAAACAGCGACGATTTCACGCCGAGTTCAAGTTTGTTGAGGAGTAAAGTAATTTATCAAAGTAGCGACAGATTCGACAACACTGACGCACCGCGTCCTGCAATTGATTATATTCAGTAAGTCTTCTTACTTGGTAATAACATCAATGAAGACAGTGGGATAAGCCTGTTAGCGACGAGAATAATGTGAGGGCGAAGGAGGTGAGAGGGAGAGTGCAGGTTATGCAACGATACAGGGGTTGAAAGTAGCGTAATAACGAGAAGAGAAGCGAGGTACGAACGGAGGACCGCACGGAACAGGCTAAGAATGGTGATCGTTGGCGGAGAGAGAGCGTGGGAGAGGGAGGGTGTGGAAGTTGAGTGCCGAGAAATAAGTTGGGGTGATAAATCGGCGGGGCTCGCGAAAAGCGAGAATCGGAGGCCCGCTATGCGAGGTGGAGGAGGAGGAGGAGGGGGAGAAAGTTGCGAAGCGGAAGAACAGAGGAAAGTAGGGTTGTTTCGAGATTAAAAACGGAGTAGCCGTGCGCTCCGGCTGCTTAAGTATGCAAATGAATATAATTTATTCTGGAAATTTGCCATGAGAGATAATTTATTTTGCACCGTCGATTTCGTGTATGGGATATAAGAATAACGATTCTGCTCATTATGGAAATAACGATCGCACGTAGCGCAATAACTGTGAAAATATGATGAATCGTCTTGCTATAATTGGCCTTGTAATATTAATACTTTAAGTACCCCTTATTGCAAAATAATCGTATGCTTTATTGAAAAAAATTTAAATTGAAATTCAATTCCAAATTATATAATAGATATCCACGTATAATATTATATTTATTCCAATCGACTTTTGCAATTAAATTTTACATCTGTTTTTAAATTAAATAGATCAATAAAGCAGAAGAGTTGCGCATTTATGTATAGCTTCGAATAATTAATGCTTGGTAAAAAATACGAATTAACAAGGAATAAAATTAATGAATTGAACATTGCGTATTACATATGATACATCAAAAGATAGTAATAATAATAAATATACATATTCTCTGGCAAAATACTAGATGTAAAAAATACTTGAAAAATTATGAAACATTCGCATTGCCGTTACATCAAATAAATGTGGTTATTTAATAATTAAAAGTTATTTCTCTGCCTTTCTGTTAAAACTTGAATATTTTTTTCGAGTTCGTGCATAGCACGTAGTTTAAAAAGAAGTGTCGTGCATAGCAAATGATATCACGGGTACTTAACGGCTTACGCTAATTAAGCATGAATATTTGAGTGCCGACTGCGGCGACAGCCTCTCTATTGCCGTGAATTTTAGAAAAAAATACAAGATAGACTTTGCGGTTAAATCGATTTTATTACTATTTCATAAGCTATTAATAAACATCTAAGCTATTAAATGACATATTAGAAAATAAATATTGAAAGGACTTACCCTGTCGCGCGCAAGCTCGTATATTTATATATTCTTCGGATAATGCGGGATAACATAATGTTTGCTCACCTGCAACATACATAAATATATAATTTATTATGTGATCTTTGAGAATCCATCGTCTTCGCGAACTGAAATAAAATTTACGCTCGCGCGACGAACACATTACAATAAAATCTATGCGACAAGTGTCCGATGTATAGCTCGGCATAAAAATATCGCTATGCGGAGTACACAGCAAGCGGAATATTTAGTGTCTTCTAACCTCATGATAAATTAGTTTAATTAGTGCCTTCATATGCAACATAATTCTCGTTCATTAACGGAGCAAACTGGAATTCCGCTATGTATCTATGCGTAACGTACATACACACATATCACGGCTTTCGCAGAGGCAAAAGAGCCAGAAATGTGAGATGCATTTCATACGGAATAATTTCTACAAAGACTGCCTGTATCCTTCCCTTTCTTTTTTTTGCCCTGCATTTTCTGTGGTTTTTATCTGCACGCGCGCTCTCATCATCGTGAAACCTCATATCGCGCCATTGGTCGCATATCTTCAAGTTTCAATCCGTATTAAATGAACAGAATATTCGTATTTCAAAAGTATCCGGCTCTCAATTTACAACCATCGTTGGAAGAACAAAAGTGCATGTGTTACTGATGAAGATAAGAAGCAGGAATATTATAGCTCTAACAAAATCAATAATGACACGACTTGAATGAAATTTCTCCAGTTGTGTATTGGATTACTTTTAGCTGAATAAAAAATCACTATATAATATTCTGATGCACAATAAATATTTATTAAATATTTTAATCATGTATTACTGCTTTGTGGATTTTCTAATTTCAATACAAAAAGATATATTGTACGCATAATATAATAGAATAATATAACTGATAATTGTTACAATGTACATAATCTTAAATTATTAACAAATCATTTAAAAGAATTAATAAGTATATTTAATATTGTAAATAGATTTTAACATAAACGTGAAATTTTACACGGATTAATTTATATTTTTCTTAAGTAGAAATTGCTTACGTGCAGTGAAAAATTCTGCAGCTTTTTCTTTAGTAAGGTTAAAAAATTCTCTTTTCCGACTTTGTACTATCCGAGCGGAGAAGATATTTCAAGAAAGATAAAAAAAAAAAAATAAATGGTGACAGCAAAAAAAAATGCACAGAAATAAATTAAGAAGAAAAAGATGCGTGGAAGTAACAGCAGACACGCTCTGTTAGCAAGTCAGGAATACTTTTACTTTAGTCGATCCTTCACATGCTAAGAGATGCAAAGGAAAACAGTAAAAGCAAAAATATAAGTCTTGCTAAGGATCACAAGTTTCGTTACGAAAATTGAATATCCTCGTGTATTTGAAATGCAAGAATATTTTGCGAAATACGAACTGTGTGATTGCCTGTGCAACAAATAAAAATAGAAAACAGAAGAAAAACAAGTTGAAAAAATACTCCAAAGAAGAATAAAAACTAAAAGGAAAAATACTCTAGAAAAGCATCTGATTTTAAAAAATAAAGATAGAGAAACCGAATTATGTGATTTATGACATCTTTATGGGTTACCTCCGTGCTTTCAAAAAATTTTCTTAGTATATTTCCCTCGTAAATCGAATTCTTTATTTCTCCTTCTTTCTTTGGCAGTTCATCAACTGTAAAATACCAGTGTAAAAAATGCGAGGAAAAGTAGTAAATCGTCATAAAGCCGTAAAAAACTTTGTTTTAAAGCGTGACGTCAAATGAAATCGATGAACTGCTTTTCTTTCCTCTGTTCATTTCAGGTACAATCCTACCGTCTACATACTTCTCACGCTGACGCTTTCTCGACTTTTGCAAAATTTATACGCAGCCGGAGTAGAAAACCGCTATCTTTTAATTTATGCGCGCCGCTCCGGGAATTTAATATTCTTGTAGCGTCTAAGACGCGTGCCGGAGCCGCGCGGCGGAAACCTTTTCCTGCGGCGTGTAAAATTGAGAGGGATAATAGAACAGGAAAATGGAAGAGTTGGGGGAAAGAACGGCTCGAAGTGAGACGGTTGCTAATGGTAGATGGTACTCGAGGGCCCTTTTTCGCTGGGTCCGGTCTTTGCATTTCAAAAAGGGTTAACGACGCGAAGCGGTAACTCGCGGGTCAGACATGTCTCTATGCCACCTCCGTTTTGAGGTCTCTTTGGAAGGAAGTTTCGTATCTGAATGATTTAAGCAAAGTACACGCTCTTTCTGAACTTTCCTAGTAAATATGAACTACGGAATCTTTAGAATTTTATTACAGCCATCGTACACAGAAAATTGAAAAAAATTTCATCTTCTAGAGATATCCAAACTGATTAAAGAATTATTCTTCTCAAAATAATTTCAAAAATTTCAAAAAATGGTATTGTTTGCCAGCAATTAGTATAACATATATTGTATAACTCTCCAATCAATTATATTAACAATTTCATTAGAATTATTAGAGTTTAAACAAATTAAACTCTAGAAAAAGAAGGCTCGTATGATAATCACGACAGAATCGTCGCGGTTGTTGGTGCGAAGTAATTTATTTTTATATTGAAATTTATTCACTTTTATCAAAACATTAAATTGTACGTCGATTTCAGGATGGATTTTTAGAGTACATGATTTTTAAGTACATTTCACAAAGGACAAATTAAATAAGAGATATAATTAAAAAATTATTAGATTTAAACTATTTATGATGCTAATATCTGTCTCTCGTCATTTAAAAAATAAAACTTATGCAATTCATAATTTCCAAAAAAATCAAATTTTACATTTTAATTAATTAATTTTTCTAAAGTATCCAACGAATATTTTTCTCACTAAAATCGCACGCGAAGCAGTTGTAGTGTTATTTGTTTGTCAAGAGTTAAAAGCATATTATCAAAGTAAGATATCCTCGATGTAATTGCTGAGAAAGAATTAAACGAAATATATGTCTCCACTCAGTGTTAAACGTCATTACGCCTTCCAAATTCTTGCTACATAGAGAAATGATTGTGCCATTGTCCGTGAAACTGTCGGTATCTCTTTGAAGTGCCATTCGATGCGTTCACGACGTCGTTAATGAAATTTTGCACATTCTTCCGGGTGCGATTACTCTTTTCGTGTCGGATGCGCGCGATAGGGTAATTATACAATGCAATGAAATAAATACAAATAAATAAATACGCGCTATGTCCAACGGAATGTACCACTGCGCGTTTCTGCGTGATAAATTACATTGTCAAGAGCAAAGAAAAAGAAATATCTAACGTCCTTTAAAATACGCTGAAATTTGACGAACATCTGCGACACTATGTTCCATTTGTAAAAGCAATTTCACAATGCTGACGCTAAAGAAAAGATATTATTTATATAATCTTTACAATAGTGGTTTTCATAGTGGTAATCATTTGTTTTACTAAAAGATATTAATAATTATATCAGTAATTTTGATTCATCAATAATTAATAATTATTATTGTTTAATTATTAATATAAGACATTTATTCATAATATTATATAATATTATGCACTGTCTTTGACATCAAAATTTGAGAGAAAAGAAATATTTTACTACACACCTGATCTACCGCTTGGCAGAAAATGTAAGACAAATAACGAGAACAATACAATTACAGTTGATGAAAAATTTTGAATAAAAAAGCAAGGGTAGGTAACTTGAGAATTTTTATAAATATATAATATGTTAATTGTAACATGTAATTGATCACTTAACGAGAGATTTTTACGAGAAAAGGTTTTATAGCAAAAACTTTTCTAGTGGTATTTTATGATCTCAATTTGCCAAACTGAAAGGATAGAAGGGAAGAGATATGACTTCTCACTTTTGATTCACGCGTGTGAAAAGTGATCTAATTAACATTTTGTCGCAATATATGAATAAATTTAAATAAGATTAACCCCTAAAAAAATAAAACAAACAAGTAGAATATTACATTCGTAACAAATTAAAATGTTATGCTTAAAGCTTTTAGACCCAAATTGATTTTAAAACGTTATAGAAAATTCCAAATAAAAAGTTTTTAAAAGCACTAAATATTATTAAAACAGAATTGCTTTGAGTTTGATGTATTTAAAACTCTAACTTTTAAAAAATAATTAATAAATAACTTTACAAAATACAATACTTTTTTGTAAACAACAAACAGAGAAACCTAAAAATTATTTACTATAATGCGAAATAATTTCATATGGCAATCATTTTTCAAACGTTTAACAATAAAATTTTGCGGAAATTCTCGAAAGATCTGTGTTTCCCGATTTCTTGACTTCGCTTAGATAGCTTATCCGCCACCGCTCATTATCCTTTGAATGAGGAAAGACAGCCACGAAGAAAAGCCGAGAGTCGCTCGACCGAGTGGCAGATAAAATAAACGCGACCACACGGGTTTCCTCACTTTTCACCGCGACGTCAGTTACAACGTTGTTCCGCTAGACGAAGCAATTATCTCTCGCCAAAGTGCCCTTACTTCCTATGAGCACGCAGCGCAGCACAACTGTGAGTGAATTTTGGTTAACTCGATTTTCGTTATCGGCGACCGCGCCTCTACAAATTGAAAAATGTATCGAGCGCACGCCCCGAATATGAGGAAAGTAGAGAACGGAGATTAAAGGGCGCGTACGTGAAAGAAATTCGTTTAAACGATACTGAAGAGTTTATTAGCTATCCTTTTGGCTATGATTATATTATCCATTATTAATCCAATGCTGAAATGAATGAAACGTTAGAAATAATAAATCTATGTTAAAAAAGTAAATTATACAAAAGTTAAAAAAGAACGAAAAGAAAATAAAGGAAAATTTGCAATTAATAACTTACGAAAAGAACAATAAAATAATTCCTAATAAAGCATTAATCAATTTTATTATAATATGCGTATAATTAAGGTTTCTATATTATTATTGTACTTTAGCACCGAATATTATCAGAACGAGCTTTCCTGTCTAAATTTACTTCTGACAATAAATTTTGTACATTAAATTTTAAAGATTTAACATTTTGAAATATTATTTAATCGATGAAAAAATAAACTAAGTTTCTTT